TATAATACATTTATAGTTAAGCATTAACGTGTATTCTTAATTTGTAAAAAATCTAACATCTAACGAAAATTCTTGAGAATGCATAAAAAGCTTGATAAATAATTTGCATTTACAATTTATCTTATTTTCTTATTTTCTAAAGCATATTGACAGACACATTTTGAAGAAATATTTACATTTCCATTTTTTCTTATTTTCCTATTTTCTAAAGCCTATTGACAGTCAACATTTGAAGAAATATTTACATTTCCATTTTTTTTTCCTATTTTCTAAAGCATATTGACAGTCAACATTTGAAGAAATATTTACATTCCCATTTTTTTCTTATTTTCCTATTTTCTAATGCTTATTACAGTCAACATTTGAAGAAATAATTGCATTTCCATTTTTTCTTATTTTCTAAAGCATATTGATAGTCACACACATTAGAAGTGTGCTTGTAAGAAGTCTAACTTGAATAGAATTTATTGACCGAACAAAATTGATTCAAAATTCTTATAAACCGACCGGTCTAATATATTCTCAAATCAAAAACCGGAGTTTAACAAAACTTGAGATAGTAAAGACAAATTTCAAAGTTTCTCAAAAGTATTCATTCTCCATTTGATATATCTTTCAAATACTAATAACACCAAAAAGTTTTTCTGTCTTGTAACTTCTCTACATATGCAAAAGACCAAAAGAAATTACACCCCAAAAGATTGATTATGTGATATTGTTGTGTTTGTTTCGATCAGATCCTCTTGAAAATGTTTGAGATCAAATGGTGCTTAAGTAGAACCTTCTTGTTTAACCTTGTTTCCTCTGGTTTTCCAATCTCTAATCATTACCAAACTCGTTTCTACTTCCGTAATACTCGCCTCTAGCTTCAATGCCATCTCCTCTATTGCAAGCTTTCTCTGTTTCAATCTCTCATCAATCTCTTCTTCTTCCTTCTTAGCTTCACTGCACCTCTGTTTTTCTCCATCTTCATGTAGCCAACACTCTGATTCCTTTCTAGATATGTTCCTTTGAGCAACTGTCATT